AAGCTCAGAGATTTTTTTCCCCCGTACAATCGTTATCCGAAATTCGTTATCTTTTATCTGGATCAGTGTGACACCATCGAGGCACCGTCGACTTTTAAAAATTGTTTACGTTTTCCACACACACACACACACATACATATCTAACCTGGTCCTTCTCTAAAAATACCTGTTATCTGTTGCTCTAAATCAGTCAGAGTTACGTCGTCCCACCAACCCATGGGGAAAACGAGATTTACATTTTTTCGCAGTTATTCACCAGCCTTAGCCATAAATAATTCATGCCCCCGCATTGCGTTACATATATATCCGATCTGATCATCGGATCAGATTCACGCTTGTGTATACACTCAGTCAATCGGCCAATATGTTGTTCCCTCCTCTGTCACGAAATTCTTCACCTGCTCGAAATGTAATATCGATCGATCTCGAGATTATGGAGCGGTGAGTGGGTAAGAACGAGGAAAGGGAAAAGAAAAGTTACGAGGAACGAGAAAACCTCCCCGTTCTCTCCCTTTCCCCGCGATTATTTCTCCCTCATTAAACCATTAACAACGCGATTACCTTCGTAAAATTAAGCGACGTGTTAGAAATTTCTTCGAGCGAAATCCATCTAAGAAGGCGTTTCAAGAAAGGGATCCAGGAGTTTTCGATCCACGCTTCGATCGAGCCGCTGAACCATTTCGATTCGTAGAGGTAGAGGGAAAGGGGCAAGAAGGAAAAAATCGTTTCTCGTTAATTTTTTCACAGCCACGACGACGAGTGGCGAAAGTTCACGCCTAGATACCGGAAGATTTTTTTTTATTTTCGTTAAAATTGCCTTCCACCCTCGCAAATTCGAATTATTCGAATTATTCGAATTATCCCTTCTTTCTCTTGCAATATCCGTACCGGATGTTAATAAAATTCGCGAGATACTTTCGGAGAATCGATTCTAAAGATCGAAACTTAGAATAATCCAAGAAGAGTTGGTATGCAGAGAAATTCTAATAAAGGATTTTATTTGTTGAATTATAGAGAATTTAGAAGTTCAAGCTCGGCTTATAATTTAACAAGTAAGTTAGTATAATTGACTTTTTATTTTGGATAGAAAATTTCGAGAATTGTTCGACTTCTTTTCCAATTTTCTTTTTCTTTATTAAAGCGGAAGAGAGAAATATTTCTTACGAGTATGTATGTGCGTGAATATCTTAAAAATTAAAATTCCAATTTCAAAAAATTAATGGAGTTTTAAATGCCACGACAGTTAAATGATAGTTCTCGTGCCTTCGTTTCTTTTCCAAGCTTTCGAAATTTCCACGAACTCCGATCCTCGAGATCCTCGGGATTGTGTACACGACCAGTCAACCCCGGTGGACATTAAACGGTACATCGAAGGGCGAATGCACGAAGAGGGGGAGAAAGGGAGGGAGGGAAGGAAGGAAGGCGCCAAGCCAAAGCCTCGACAAGTTTCTAGACGTACTCAATTAAAAGTTGGAGCCACTCGAAGCGGCGAGGGTGGAACGCGAGATGGAACCGTTCTGTCTTCATTTTTTTTTTTTTTTTTTTTCCCCTCTCTCAAGTGGAGGATCCACGTCGATCACGAGTAAATGGCACGATCCACTGGCATTTCATTATCGCCTCGATTACACGAGTGCTGCTGGTTACTGCCAGGCAATTTCACTCGACCCCTTAGATTCACCGCCGCAATGCATCCACGACGGCTTCAACACCTCTCTCTCTCTCCTCTCTTTCCTCCCGCCACGTCCTCGCCCGCTTTAAGGTAGAACCTAATACATCCTATTTCCTTCGTTTAACCTCTATCTACCTCTTACTTCCGCCCGTTTAACGCTACAGTTTGTCTCCAACGATTACATCCTCTCTCTCTCTCTCTCTTTCTCTCATGCGATCTGTCGCGATGATTCGAATACTAATCGATTTTAATAGAAAATTTGGTGATAGAAAGAAATTATTTGTTGAAAGGATGATAGGGATGACGGATAAAAAGACGTTTTTTTCTTACATTTGGCAATCGCTGTACGCTCGACGAATTATCTCGCGCAATAAAGAGCCGAAAACTACTTGTTCTTATTTCTTTTTTTTTTTTTTTTTTTTT